TATAATAGTAAATAGAATAAAGATGAATATAGAGCAAAGATTGAGATAGAGTAAAAATGTATATAGAATAAACATGTATATAGAATAAACATGTTTACAAATATACACGTAGAATAGGAATGTTTACAAGTATAGACATAGATTAAGTGTTTACAAGTATGTATGTAGAGTAAAATGTTTAGAAGTAAATATGAAGACAAGTGTTTACAAGTATATATGTAGAATAAAAGTGTTTACAAGATATATGTAGAACAAAAGTGTTTACAAATATATATGTAGTGAAAAAGTGTTTACAAGTATACTTGTAGAATGAAAATGTTTACAAGTGTATACATAGAATAAGTGTTTACAAGTATATATGTAGATAAAAGCGTTTACAGGTATATATATAGAATTAAAGTGTTTAATACAAATATAGTGTTCACAATGTGAAAGCACAGCACATAAAAATATATCGTATAAAACTATTTGCGAATGAGTATATGGTTTTTATTGTTTAATAATACTTCTTGGCTTGACATATCATGGATGCATAAAATCATTAAGGTTTAAGGCTAAAACAGTGACTACAAAAGCAGGTGTGGCGTTACCTGTTTTAGATGTAAAGTACACGCAGCACATGCAGGCGTCGTGCAAGTTCATCATTACTTGGGCATCGTGAGCATCCGCATCGATGAGGAAATCTCCCTCGTCCGTCAAATTTGTATTGTCCCAGTCGCAGCCGAATCCATCTTTTCGGTCCATATGAAAGCTGTGCATTCTTCCTTGGATTTGCCGAGTGTTGTTGACCACCAGTACGTCTATAAACACAAGTTCGTTGAGCTTGAATGGTACAGTATATCTGATCAAGATCACTTCTAACAAGTTGTGATTGATGCGTTGCCAGTCGAAGCGAGAATCTTCCTGTGGGAAGTCTCCAGTTAGATCGATCATCATCCTATGTTTTGGCTGCTTGTCAGCCTATATTATATAGATTAATAGGTATAGTATATACGCACTATGCACTGGTTTGGTGTTGGTTGTTACATTTTAATATGTCAAATCGCCAATTCTACCAACTGCCAGTCAGCCAGTGCCAACTGCCAACGGCCGACTGCCGAGCGGACCGGGATGTCAATTTGAATTTTGGTCATGTCGTTTATATGTGGGTAAAATGGATTCTGATTGGCTATTATGCGTTTCGTGTCCCACATTTTCTAACGATAGGACATATCATTAGGTACAAATTTCGGAAATTTTGATATTTGAATTGACTCGGATATCAGTTAAAACTTTTATTTTCAAAAAGTTAACATTAAAGTTGGAACTTATGTAGGGTACCAACGCAACTTATTCAGGTTAGGCTGTGATTGAGGGTGGGTGTATGCGTAGGAATTTTTGTTGGAATTTATCTCTCTGTACTAGAGGGTCCGTCAAAGATCGTAAACAAATGGACCAATAGAAATTAACATTAAGAGAAACCAGATTCCTTTGGTTTACTGAGTGAGACCAGACACTATTGGTTAACTATAGATAATGACCCACGTTGGCACAAATTTTGTGAACTGACACAAATTTTGTGACTGACCCAAAGTCCCATAGGGATAATATTATTTATTTCAAAAATGGCAAGTATGTATGATACAATGTATGAACATATGGTATGGCTCTCATAGTCGCTGTAGTGGTTCAGGAAAAGTTGATGGGAAGAAGCGGTCGGTAAATTCCCGTTTGAAGCTTGGGCCAAGTGAATCGATAATGGAAGATATGTGCTGAGTCAATTCGGGCCGGTATTGACAAAACACTGTTACTATCGAATGTTCCATATATTTGCTTGCTGACCTACTAAGTAGAGTACCTACCTCTGTGGTACGGATCGGGTCTGCGCCGTGTAGTGCCGCGGAATGTGTTAGTGCAGAGTACGAAATACCAAGAAGGACCAGGTTATCCGTCATAATCAGGTCGAGAAG